AAGCTTATCTACCTTCCATAAGCGGATGACAGAAGCTAAATCAATCAGGCCAATGACTGCAGTTATGATGATCACTGATAATATAACATTGGGAGTGTAGTAGAAAAGTGGCATCAGAAACACCATAGTTATGAGCACAACAGATGCCATCACTAAGTTAGAGACTGCTGTCTTAGATCCTGCATTGTAATTCACTGCCGATCGAGAAAATGATCCTGAAATTTTTCTCTAATGTATTTAGGGAAATCATGCAAAAAAAAAAAAAGTGTTTTGATGCTAAATATATGGTTTTTAATGGCTTGGACCTGTGGTTACATAGCATGAAGTGCAGGAGCCTGTCATGTTCATTAATCCGATCGCCATCATCTCCTTATTTCCGTCCACTTGGTAGTTTTTCAGAGATGCAAATGTTCTACCAACTGCTATCCCTTCCTGTAAAACAAAGATGTCATTTTGGTTGGTGATTGGCAAATATATGAAGAAAAAGTTGGCGTGTTTGGTGTGAACTCACTGTAAGAGATAGGATTCCTGTCATAATTCCTGTTTTAATTGCAAGGGCTAAGTTGGAGCCATGGAAGTTTAGCATATTGGCAGAGGGCGGGTTCACACCTTTCTGCAAGTGCCCAATCTGTTCACAAAAATGCAACCAGTTGTATAAATTGGCTTCACTTTCTCTCCCTCCCACCTTCTACATAGATAAATAATCTATACATCTATCTATATATATCTATATATATCTATATATATCTATATATATAAAGCCTTGAGCTATTGGCTTTACTCACGGATTTGATACCATGTCTGTGACCTTTGAGAGCAAAGACAATGATGGTTGATAGAATCACAGAGGCCAAAGGCGTTGCTGCTGATACCCAGAAAAGCTTAGGCCTCCTCAAGCCCTGCATCATGTTTCATTTAGATGAGGAGGCATTTTGCAGAATATAACAGAAGTAATATTAATTAGTCCTAATTTATTAAATAAGTTAATTATTTAAGATCTAAACCTTTTTTTTTCCCTTTTACAAGATCGATTTTCTGTTTTGTTATTTTTAACTTGAAACAATTTTTTATTGCTATTTTGGTTTGCTATAAGCTGATTGATCAAATGGTCCATATTTTACATGCAAACTTCCAAGATTATAAGTAAAATGTTGGGCATTTCAGATTTGGGGATTGTAATTCCATGATCACCTAAATGGATTTATAGGTTTAAAAGTTTAAGTAAGATATCATCTTTAAGCCCACTTAAGTTATAGCATAATAGGGGATAATTACATAAATAGCACTCAAGGTTTTGGAAATCGGATCGAACATCAATTCAGAAAAATGAAATGTTCAAAGTTCACTAATTTGACCGGATTTAAACTAGATAACGTGATAATTAATAAATATAATAATTAATTAAATATAATCTAAAATAATAAAATAATAGAAAAATTATTAAATAAATAAAATTCATTTCATAAAAAAAAATGCTCTCTTTCATAAGCTAATTGATTCTATTCACAAAAAAAAAAAATAATAATAATAACCCTATAAAATTTTATATTCTCTCTCCTTGTAGCCCTCAGATATATCTATATATATAATGTTGGATATGCCTGCAGATTTAATCATGATCCGGAAAATGTCAAAATTGACCCTTTAGAATTGAAGTTGCTTTTTGAATTCGGAAACTGGGTGGCATGTGTAAACTATAAGAAAAAAATATAAAATAATATAGATATTTTTTTGAAGATTAAACCAGTTCTCCAGTTAGCCGGTTGAACAACCAGTACAACTGGCTCTGGGCGGTTCATATTTAGAAATGATTTCTTGTGTGGTTCGAACTGAACTAGCCACCGGTTCAAAGTCGAATCGACCGGTCCGGTCTGATTTTTTAAACTTAGATATCACCTGAAATACTGTAATTTACAAAATCTAACGCCCAAGTGATATTTTTTAACTATCAAACCGATATATTCTCTCGCGCGGACGATCAAACCATTGAGAATTTGATAAAAATGAAAAATATGGGTTGGGGTTTTATCATAAATTTTGAAAATTTTGAATAAATTTTGATATTTGAGAGTGTTGAAAAATGGATGAAAGACGGTGCTAGATTTGGAAATAGCAATGTTCAGGTGCTACGTAAGTAAATGCCCCGTTGTTTTAACCATACATGAAAATAATTATAATGATACTTTGATTGACTGGGTTATATAAATACAAAGGAGTATTACATATTATTATTAACTTGATACGGCAGAGTCATATTGATAATATAATTATTGGCCTCTCATTTATTTCAATACAACCTCAATTGAATAATGCCCTTGTGTCTACAATGATTGAAGATAACTCCATGAAAATCACATCAATTTTATCTCAATATGAGATAAAAAATAAAATAAAATACATTTTATAACAAGAAAACCTTGTTATCATAATATTATTTCGACAGTTACTATTAGTATATTTATTTTAATGGACATATTCTAACTCAGTAAAGAAATTTAGAAGTAGGAAGCTTACAATATGCCTTGTTATCAAAAGCAAACCTAGGAAAGCGCAGCCCATGACAACAGTCTGCCATGCCCACTGCAAAGTACATTTCATAAGATTTATATTAGAAAAAATATAATCTAAATTAAATACTAATAGTGCATTCAAACTTCTAACTAATTTGATTTGTAGGAATAGATATACCTCTGTTCTATGTTCGAAAACTGAAAGCATGACTGGTACAAATTGCATCTGAGTTGTGAAGTGAACAATTCCAAACAATCCCTTAAGCTGTTGCAATGCTACAATGATTGCCGCTCCTCCCATGAAACCAATTAGTGTCGGTTTCGACAAGAAATCCACAATGAAACCCAACCTATAACCCATATTGCTAATCATTAAGATCTTCTTTTAATCAAATCTACTATGAATTATTGTTATGTTAGATCTCAGTTGTGAAAGATAATAGTCATTATTTGTTAGTCTAGCTAGTATTACTTATTTTCATTAATATCATGGTAAGACTTCACCATAATCTTTCAAATCTAATCATTTTGGTGGTCAAGAAATACTTCTCTACAAATGTTGGGAAAAGATTATATACATCTCACATGAACAGAAGTTTTATGCACAAATAGAGTGGGTATGGAAATTTAAGGAGAAACTTTCACCTGAGGAAGCCTAATGAAGCTTGGAATAGACCAGCAAAGAATGTGGCAGTAAAAGCTAGCTGGAGATAAAGGGTTGGTTCGTTTTCAGGAGACACAGCCTCTCTAAGCATGGATCCCATTACCAGAGATGCAATCGAAACTGGGCCGACTGCAAGATCTCTCGAGCTCCCAAAAACTGAATAAATCAATGGCGGCACAAAACTTGAATCTAGGAAGAGACAAGAAGAAAAAATAAAAATTTTTAGCATAGTCTTGGTTTCATAATCATATTTGAAAAATTCTTATGATAGCCAACAAGTTGAAATATCAAATAGAGTGCAGAAACAGCACTCACATAAACCAATGATTGGTGGCAGATTTGCAAGCTGGGCATAACTTATACCCTGCATATTTTATCATGAAGTTATTTTTAACATATAAAAAAATTAAAATAGAAATAACAAGTTGAATTACTTAATCCGGGCTTAAATAAAAATTAGCGTGGATGTCTATAATAAAGTTCTAGTAACAGTTTGGCTCCTCCTAAAAATTATCAGTGAATCTCTAATTCCAAAACCAATCAGTTTCCTCTTAAATTCTTGCCGAAGCAGTTGAAACAAGCCAAAAACCAAAAATACTAACATAAGTAATTAACCTAAAATCGAAAACCATGTTTCAGGGTTAAAAACTATGCTTTTCATCAAAATGCTGAAAAGAAAACAAATAAAACAAAGTAGGTATTGAGCATACCTGTGGGATTGCCAAGCTAGCAATAGTCAGTCCTGAGATTGCATCAGACTTAAACAGATGGAGATTGTACTCAGAACCCCATTGAAGAATTGGAAAGATGTATTGAAGCGCAAGAAGTATTTTTTTCTTAGGTGGCTGGTTTTTGAACTGATGTAGAGGGTCATCCGGGAAGAAGACCTCTCCTAGTTCTTTCTTCAAGCCCTGTAGAGCCTTATTTCTCTGTGGGAAAGAAACCTTGTGAATGTGCAGAGCTTCTATACCTTGCCCTGAGCTTGAAAGAGATGTTTCAAGATCTGGGATATCTCTGAAGCTGTCTGTTCTATTGAAGTTCCCAACCATGGCTCTCAATATTGAGCAGTGGAAGAGAAGAAGATGGAAGTAATGAAATGGAATGTTGAAGAGAGTTGCAGGAATTGAGAGAAGAAACTTGATATTTATAGAGAGGGAATTATGGATTCTTAAGCAAAGCGGGTTGTGTTTAGTGCTGCGGGTAGGACAAAAGTTGTTCAAATTGGGACGGTGAGTTTGCCTGTCATTACTGTGTTATGGCCCAACGTTTTAAATCCAAATTTTCATTTTTTGTTCAATCTCATCAGCAAGTTTTTATTTTTTTATTTTTTTTT